TATTGCGAAGAATATCACGTAATGTTTGGCGTTTCGTCCCGGCTTATCTATTAGATAAATTATCACACAGTTTATACGAAGATGGAAAAAGCTGATTCTTGTTGTTAGGAGAAGTAGAAATAATATTAAGTTTTTAATGTATTGATTCGCCATCGATTATAAATGTATGCTTCATACTGTAAATGCTTTGAAGCATTCTTTAACTAAAATTCTTTCTTTTGATTGGTCAACGAGGCATTTGCAGCGTTTAATGGATTGCACCCTTGACTATTCTTCTCTGCAGAATAGTGGTTACGAACGAAACAAGAAATATAGGCCACTCGTGAATCGAACGTCTATTTATTTATTACCGCAATCATAAAAAAAAAATTGAGCTGTCATTTCCGCAAAATGATTAACGAAGCGGCGAGGGAAACTTACGACGTATGCTCACATTAATTAAATTTCGCTCTCCCTATTTTACGGCGGATGCAACTCGATCTCCGGTCGTCTCGTGTTAAACCTCGCTCGTAAAAACGCAAAGCTGCTCGCGATTCTTCCTCTCTGTTCTCCGCTTTCTTTTTCCTACGTTGATTGTAATTAAAACATAATTAAAGTATGCAAGCCACACTCCATCTCACTCGCGACGAAGATACAATGATGAACGAGGGAGTGTTTCTAAAACGAGTATAAGGACCGTAAAAAAAGATGATGAAGTATAAATGAGGTCAGATTGCGAAAACCAGACTCGTAAAAATATTACGAAGCCCGAGAATTACGCGAATAACTCGAATGTAATCGCCAATTTCAGCAGTTTACATCCAATTGATTGTCGGATTGTCGAGTATTTTTGTAGTGCATTACATACCGAGGTACCGAATATACGAGAATTAAAGTAATTATTTTTTTCTGCTACGTTACATCGATGTGTGCACTGGTAAACGTAGTGTAACTAAAATACATAAGCAAGATACACAACGTTCATGAAACATTTTACCGTAGCAAAAATAGCGAGCATGGTTAAACGAATACAACCGGTAACATAACGCCGCGTTGATATGTGCCGTGAGATAAAATGCCTCGAAGGTTGAAATGTAGACATGAATTAAGACATGGAACATAACATTAAGATTCATGTCTCGCTTATTTATTATACGCGTAATTTTAGCACGAGGGCATAAATCTTCGCCAGAAGCTGGATTTTCGCGGGTCGTCTGTAATTTTGAAGAACGTCTGATCCATGCAGATTCTTCAAGTTCTGTCTATTCTCGGTTCTGCGCCGAGTATAAAAAGCTACGAAAAATGGAGCACGAGGACAGTATCGCGTTTGTTGCGGAACAGCAAACGTTGCTACAAATTTATCTTCTGATCGTGCGCGATATTTCGAAAGCACGTAATGCAATAAAATGGCGCCAAAAAGACAAAGAGAGAGGAAGAGAGAAAATAGATAATATAAATCTTGACGTTGCGATTTAATTTAATTTCCATAGCCATCTTGATGTTCTCGACCCGGCGCGGCTGCGCTTCATATAAAATTCGTTTATCCGTTGTTTAACTCATCGACACGGTGCGATGCCGCGCGATTGTTTTTACTCACCAAGCAGAAAATATGAAAACGAAACATTTTACAAATGCGAATATTTATTCGCATTAATAATACATAATATCCTACCGTGCACCTCGCTTTCGCGAAAATCTCGTTAACAAGTTTATAGATTCATTTGAGCATAAATCCATAAATGTATAAATTTTTTAAGGGATTCAATTCGTCATTCATTTCAAATCCGTCAAAAACGGACTTTTTCCATTGAAGAATCAACGAACTTTATCCAAGTGTCTACAAAATAGATAAGAAAAAAATTTTAATCGTCCAAATCTCTTTAAAGGTATCTTTTAGTTGTTTGTGACATTTGCGGTAAATTCCAGAAGCCAAGTATCAAAATTAGCGACTGTAACTAACTAAAATTTTATGCGACTCGAGGTCTAGAATTGCTAGAATGGTATTATATCTGTTTCGATAAAACTCCTATCTCTGTACCAAGACAATCGACACGCGAAACACGACGTCTCGATTACCGTGTTGGAAATCTTTTTCTATCCGCAGGGTTGTTTTCGCCCTGTCCCTTTCTCCTTTTGTCTGCTACCTCCGACCAATCCCGTCGCTCTGCTGGGCTCGTCTCGACGAACCAACTCGCATTAATTGCCGGGAGTCACGACATGTCTCCATTACTCAAGAGCTTCGTTAAAGGAAGGCAAAGGGGATAAGAGAGCGCCGCGAGGATAAGAGACGAGGAAGATAAAGGAGGTCGCAACCATGTTTCACCATTATTTTTCACAAATTGGGCTCGCGTCGCCGTTATCCTTAACGAGAATTGAACTGGCCCCCATCGTCCAATGGAATGAAAAAAAAAAAGAGAGGTTTTCTGTTTATCGCCTTCGCGAATTTCGTCCGATTCTTCTGTTGTATCTCTTGAACGTAAAATCAGCATCCCGAATGCCTTGCATCTCCGCGTTATTTTTAATTTCGAGATCTTAATTTATACGAATATATCGCGCACGACGTTGATCATCATAAAATATAGAAGCTGAATGGACCGCATTCTGCAGCTTCCACTAATTAATCAGAAATTTCCTGCCGACACTGCCGACCGACCGATGCACAAATAGACCCGCTCCGAATCTCCCTATCAATTATCCCACCGTATACTAATTAGCATATATGACCGTTGTAACAAAGTTTCCCGCCTTCGGCGATGCCGTCCATTGTCTTACGGAAACTTACGGCTTTAATAATTCGTAAATCTACCAACTGGTTTATGATCGACTTATAACTTAGTGTTTCGAAGTCTTGCTTGATTTAAGCAAGATTAGCGTTAACATTAGAACCGCCGATGATACTATTTTTGGTTAAGCATTTCAATGTTTTCTTTTTTTTTTGTATTAAATATGTAATACAAAATATTGTAATGTATGAATATAATACAAATAGTACATTTTAACAAATAACCAAACTTTTCATTAACCGAAAACAGAAATAACAAATTGCTACTTTGATATCTTAACAGTTTTATTGGAATATAATTGACAATTCGAATGTGTGTATTGGATAAAAAAATCGAAAATCAAAACCAAATCGACTAGCATTTTATTCTTAGAAAAGATGAACTTAATATTTAACAAAAAACAAGTACGCTCAATATCGAATGTAGGACAATTCGAATGTCGATTACGGTAAAAGGAAAATATAAAGTGCAAAATTACTCTATTAATTCCAAAGTCGAGAGACTTGGAAGATTGAGTGTATTAGAGCAACTATGTGCGACGGAAAAATTACCGACAAGGTACGCCTCCTGCGTATGAAACTTTAGCAGTTTATTATAGCCAAGTGCCGACATAGTTCTCCCAGCAGTGCGAGAGTTTCAAGCAATGGGACGAAATAATCGCGTTTTTACGATACTCGCGCTGAGTTTTACGAGAATCGGAAGCCTCGGCGACGCTTTTGTGCGGTAAAACTTGTTCGAATGCCACACGCGTCATAAAATCGACAAAGCCGGTGGTGGCGCGAGTTTTATCATACTAGCCGGCATACTTTCTGCGTCTAACACGATCGAGTTCGTTTCTGCATTCCGAAACTAGTTGCACACGTTCACGCATAACTGTCGCGAAATAACGTGAACGCTGAATTCAATCTTATTCAAATATTTTGTGCTCGTAATCATTTCAATGTTTTTCCTTTTGATATTAGTGTAGCAAAATGTTGAAAATATGTGAATATATAATAATATAGATAATTCTAACGATACAAATAATAACAAAATAACTTTCATTAACTGAAAACCAGGACAATTACCAATTTTGATATCATTGGCTATTCCACTGTTAAATAAAAAAAAGTTAAAACCAAACGCGCGGACACATTTTTATTATTAAAAAGGATATTATGAATTTAATAAAATAAAATATACAACAATATCAAATCTTATTGGACCGTGAAAATTTAAACCAAATGAATACCAATGGGGACATCAGTATTATAAAATGTGTATAACGATATTATATAATAATTATTAAATATAATCCTTTATAATGTAACAATTATATCAAGAAAGAAGAATTATATAAAACCAAGAAAATGGTTGTGTTATAATTATACAGTCATTTATAATATTATAAGGTTTCGAAAACAGGATTTAATATAAATATGAAAATGTTACGGAAATATTTAACATTGCGCGTAAACAACTTGGGGGTTTTCACTTTTTCACGACATGCTTTTTTACCCTCAACTCCCAAGCGACGCGACGTTCGACAGAAAGAGGAGGAGACGGCAGGAAGGGTGACTCGTAATACCCGTCAGTAGATCGGACTTTACATCCGGCTAATTAAGCATTGATAACTAACGAGGTTCCTTTGTGCCGCAGCCGCTACGGGAGATGAAAGTCCTCGGAAAATTTCAACCGACACGTCGGATTAAATGCTTTAGCGCGCGTGCTCGTCGAACTCGAGCTTGCAACTCGATGTGAACTGCGACTTTAATCCCCGTTGACGTGAATTGCTCGAGGCATGTTCCCGTTGAGGGTGCGGATTTTTTTCTCCTTCTATCGCGTAGAAGGGTTCATAAGAGCCCGATGTCAGAAGGAGCGGAATCGATCGCTCGTTTCCTGCTTTATCATGCGGAGACGATGATTAATTTAACGACTTCCTACAAGCCGGCCCTTTTGAGCGCGGTGGACGATTGTTTAATTTTGTCAAGGGTGCGCTATTGAAGGCTCGCACAGACGGTATAATGCCGTAAGCATGTTCCCTTTATTGCGTGTACCGCATATGCGCCCGTTAATTGGTAGCATCAATTAGCAAAGGAATTACTAAACCGAACAGAACTGTAAAACCATATTCTGCTTTTCTGTTGCAGTTTTACCAGCTTCTGGAAGCTAGTCAAGTGGCCAATACTACCCTCACGTACCGCCACGTGACCGTGTTTGCGCCCACTAATCGAGCGTTCCAGAAATACAATGGGAGCACGAAGAATTTGGTGTTATATCATATGTGTGAGTAGAATGCAATATTTATCGTATAAATAGATTTAAGTACAAACAGATTCAGAGATAGACATCGTCAACTGTCTTATTTAGGTGAAGATGTGTAAAAAATATAAAGACGATTTAGTACTCTCAAATTATATATAATAAGACTATAAAAACTGTGATTGAATGAAAAGTTGAAGATATACAGTGAGTGCAAAAAAATTCTTACACAGCAAAAGTCTTATTTGTAGAAAATAAATAATTCGAAATTTATATACATATAACAAGTACATACGTTTAAACTTACGTAAAAAAAAGAGCTTCGCGTGTCCATGATTTTATAATTTCTCGACTGTACGAAAACTTTTTGTCCGTTTAAATAATACTTTATTTTCGCTTATTGTTAAGATAATATATTTTAATTATTACACATATTCTAGGTGAAATAATTTTGAAAAATTACAAATTATTTTATTCTTTATTAATAAATTACTGATTAATATTTGTAATAGGATTTTTTACAAATATCTCTCTAACGAATATTTTTTGCACTATAGTTACACGTGCGCGAAAAAACTAGTTTTGTTGAAATATATTAAAAAATTAAATCGCTGAAAATAATTTTATGGGACCGTCAGAAATAATCATATAAAACACTCAATAATATAATTATAAAATAATTATAAAATAATTGTATAGTATAACAACCACTTAAACTGGTTGTTAAAATGTCAAACCATTTTGCAGCGTCATTTATTGTGTTCAAATACCTTACATAATTATTTTAATGGTCCAACAAAATTATCTTCATATCTAATATCTATATTCCAACAAACCCGTTTCTTTCGTAGTAGCATCCGTAATGCATCCGTCGAGCTGTAAAGCCGCGCCGAATCGGAAGGAGCATTCGATATGCGCCGGACGCTTTATACGTGCTTTCGTAAACTAACTTTTAGTAATGTGTAATAGAGAGAAAAAGGGAGAGAAAAGAACCATGAAGAGAACCATGATAAGAACCATGATAAGATGATATTTTAAAATCGAGAAAATACGAATTTGCAAAGTCAACCAACAATCGCGAAAATTCCGTTGTCTACTATTGTATCATACGGCATTCTCCGCCGCGTCGGAGCGACATGAGAAAATTCTCGACAGGCCGCGGCCGTGGAAACTCAATTTCCACGGTTTGGCGGGCGACCTCGCCCACCTCTCTTCCGCATCTGCATTATTTCCTTTCTTCGTCCGGTTTTCGCGCGCTGGAGTGCATTAACTCCGCCGAGTCGAGTTTCGGTATTTCGTCCTTTGATCTCGACGAAGCGGGCGGGACGGGCAGATCCGCGCATGCATCCGTAATGCATCCGTCGAGCTGTAAAGCCGCGCCGAATCGGAAGGAGCATTCGATATGCGCCGGACGCTTTATACGTGCTTTCGTAATTCAGAGCTTCTTCGATAGTCGCGAATATAACGGTGAGCGGTGGCTGGCGATTCGTTATCGACGTATCCGCATTTACGACCGTTCGGCGTCCGTTGGGCATTCATCGACGTCGATCCTGATAGAAAGGACTGCTGCGGCGGGAAAGAGGGAGCGGGCGTTATTGCGATTGAGTGTAATAGTTGACTAATATCGCGCGGCGTCAGCGAGCCAATGCGTCAGAATCCGTTCACGTTAATGCATCCTGTTACACTAATATCATGCGGCAGACGGAAATCGAAGCGAATTCGTGCGCGGAACAGTCGCATTCTCGTGAAATTGCTTTCGTTCTTGGAAGAATTGGGAAGATAGATTCTTTTAACACTCATATATTATTCCGTTAAAGTGCCGGAAAAATTTGCGGTGTAGATCCGCGAAAGCGCGAGACTACAATTTAATACCAAGACACGATTAAAGGATATCTCATTTGTATAGAGATCGTCTGTTGAGGATCTATGTGCGCAATGATTATTTCTCTATGGAAAAAAAAGAGAGAAAATATTTCGTGTAAAACAATGGATATATCACGGAAAAGGTTTTGCTGAAGTTTAACTAACAATAAGAAGTCTAATTAAAGTCTTGCCTTAAAATAGTTTTATTGGACCATCAAAAATAATTATGTAAAACGCTCAATTTGATTGCAGGAATGTCAAGACTTTTTGTAGCATTGTTCATCCCTACGTAATGTTTTAGGATGCCACAAAATTGGAAATCAGGGAAATCGTGAAAATTAAAAATGGTCAGAAAGTTTTCCGGAAAATTAAAATCCTTGGCTTTAAAAGACATTTAATAAACGTGCAACACATTTATGCAGTTTTGGAGTGCTACTAATTTAACAATTAAATGGAGGCAACATTATAATAATGTGATTTATCATAAATTACTCTCTGTAAGTATTTGAAATTTCTACTATATAAATCAGGATAAAAATATAATACAAAACAAATGAAAGTATAATAAAACATAGAAAATTTCGAAATACTTTTAAAAGACAAGATCATGAAATTTTGTCTAGAAATCAGAAAAAAAGTTATAGAAATTTTAAGATGAAGAATTTGTGACAATTCTGATAAAGAATACATGAAGCTACTAAGAAAGGAAAGAATTTCATTAGTGACACTTGACTGAAAACTCATATTTTCTACGCCACTTCGTTCTATCTTGATTAAAGTTTTCAGAAGGGATTAAATTTTAACAAGCTCGCCACTTGAAGCTTCAAAAATAGTCAGAGCCATGCGTATCTTTATCTCGTCCGGCCGCGTCGTGAGAGGCGTATCATAAGATCGTCTTTAATCAATGGAGACGCGGCAAACAACCTGCTCAATCAAAATCCTTATTATCCTTAGCGGGTTATGGTAAACGCGACGACGGGCCTCGTTAGGCGCATCCTCGTTCGTCTCGCCTCGCCTCCTCACCTTGCCACGTCGTCTTCGCGTCCGCGTTCGTGTTTGCGATGTCGCGCGGTGTGTAATTTCGACGTGCAATGTTTGCGCTGCCACGCGGCGGAATGGCACGGTGGCAAGCGCTTACACGGATAGTCGCATCGGCGCCATCGATCTTGACGGAGACCCGAAGGCAAACACATCCCACGTAGAACGACCGCGCGCCGCACCGTGTGTCCCAAGTGCTTACGTTAAACCGGGCCGATAAGAAAGGGCCGCGCCTTCGGCCACAACCGGCCACGCCGGGAAATAATTAATCCGATTTGCACGGCTAAGCCGCGCGCTGGCGAACGAGCCTTGCACTGGGAAACGAGCATTTCATCGTGCACGATGGGGTAGTAATATTACGCAAGCTTTGCGTCGAACTTGCCGAGTGACGGCAGCTATCGCGCAGCCTGGCGCACAGCCTGAGAAAGTGAAGATATACGGGGGAATCGTGAAGTTTAGGAGAAAAGGGGACTGCTTTTCGTCAGAAATTATTGATTAGAGCAGGGGTAGCTAACCTTTTTTTTTGTGGCCACATTATGGAACTTCGATATCTTTAGTGTGCCACTCGTCTGTAGAATTTGTCAGAAAAAAATACCATAATCTTAAAACTTTTTTCTCTTGCTTGGAAAGCAAAGTTTATTTCTTTTATCGCGTGACTTGTTTTACGGTTTTCTTTTTAACTTTTAAATCATTACGAAGTAGGTCGAAATATTAATCCAGATATCTATTTTTAATTCCTGCACTAAACTGCGCTAAAACTTTTTTCACGTTTTCATCAGATATCAAATATGTAGTCGATTTTAAATTCTAAAAGTGTATACTAATTCAGCTGCAGAAAACAGATCTAAAGATTACATGATTTGTGTTTATTTTTACGTTTAAAACTGGATATTTTTGTTCCTTGTTTATTTATCGGATAGAATCCCCCTAAAATATTATCCGACAATCAATCGATATACACATTTAAAATCATTGTCATACGATAAAGCACAGCAATAAAATAACACAGCCGAAACTTTTAGTGCGCGGAAACGAATAAAAGCAACAACCTGCGCAGCCAGAGAACGTTCGTGTAAAAAATAGATTTGATGTACAGTTGCTGTTTTACTGTATCATTTTGGGATTTTAAATTTTTTCTTAGATAGCACACACACGTGTTTCTTTAGAGAGAGAGAGAGAGAGAGAGAATTGTAGAAATTATAACTATATAATCTGTATTTTATTTTGTGCATCGCGGAAAAAGGCATCTCTTTAGACATTACGTCTAGAAAAAGGATGTAGTTACCCACCTGGTTAATTTTAGAGAAACATCTTTCGGCAGAGCTACATTCGCCACAATAAAAATATAATAACGTGGTCTTCCGCGGTTGTCAACAACGTACTCCCGCGTAAGTTATTCTTTAAGCCCGCTTTCCTGTGGGGCACACCGTTGCGAGTTACCCCGACGAATTACCTCGGAGACCACCGTGGGAACCGTTCGAACTAAATAATCAAAGGTCGTAAGGTCGTCGACTCCGTTGACACGAGCCGCTGCTGGATCAATGTTATTCGGCCTGAGGCGCGTTTTTTTCCGCAGAACCGCACCACGACGGGAGAAGGAGAATGGCCGATGACGGGCCACTACTTTTATTCCTCGTTGACTATTCGTTGAATCGCTGCGCCTTATCCTGGCTTTTCTTTTTTGGCTACGCCGGAGCGACGTATTGGAGAGCAAACAGCTCGAACGAGATTACCGCGTGCAAAAGACTTTTTACGAGACGCGTCTTGAAAGAGATTGTCAAGAATTACATTATCCTCCCCCTTGCTCCACTATCCGCCTCCACGCTCTTCCGCTGCCGTCGTGATGCGCGGTAAATAAAGGACGAGAGAGCAACGGCGATATAGTGGTGCTCGCGTGACGTTGCACACTGCATCGATTTACAACTCAAAATTATTTACTAGGAATAACGAATGGAAAATAAATAACTTTGCGCGTCTCTCTCCTGTTCGCTACTATAAAAACAGCGTTTTTATTACGCATTTGTGTAACTATCGTATGCTGGTTGTTAAAAAATGTTGAGAAAAAGTTTTGCAGTCCAAGATGTTTACACTGATAACTTCGTAGACGCTTAAGTTTCTGATGT